CTCCAATTTCACAGCAATTTCATTCTTTGTTCACCTCTCGTGGTTCCTGGCTCGACATTTGATCTTGTTTCCCACTTTCTTCTGTCAGCTTACGTCTGTGTGTGTGTGTATGTGTGTATGTGCTTGGGTTTATGTCTGTCTGTTTTTCTATCTACCTATGTCTGTCTATCTGTTTGTGTTTGTCTTTCTGTGTTTGTCTGTCTTCCTGTCTTTCTGTCTGCCTGTCTTTCTGTCTGCTGCGTACGTGCCTCCATGTTTGTCTGTCTGCGCCACAAGAAAAAAATAGGTAACATGGTACAGTAATTTCATCGGAAGTGTCTGTCTCGGTGAATTTACTTAAATGTCAGGAGGTGAAGAACTCCAGTGGTTTATGCAGATCATCATAAATATACGAAGTTTGAATATAAGATGAAGAAGCATTTGCATCTTGGTTTCCCCCGCAATAGAAAACGAAGGGTGTGAGACAGAGGGTGTGAGACAGAGGGTGTGTGACGGGGGGTGTGTGACAGGGGGTGTGTGACAGGGGGTGTACGACAGGGGGTAATTTAATATACCATATACAGAAAACGAGAATATAGCAAGGTATACCTCACGACAAAGAAAACAGGATATTGTATGATAGTTCACTAAATCGTCTGCAAAGAAAACGGGGGATAGGAATACGCCTAGAGAAGTTGGTTCATGTTTTATTTAGCAGCCCACGCTTTTATTGCCAATTTTCGTAGCTGAATATCTCGCATTTCTCACTTTGTCAGCAATGGATATAGTTTTATACAATTAGACTCTTAATCTCTCGTGTGTGTGTGTGTGTGTGTGTGTGAACAACAATGACACTACATATTCAAACATATAAACATGTAAGGGTGTCCTTCTCTTCCTCCTCTTTCCTTTCCACCCTCCCTTCTCCCTTCCTTCCCCTTCTCCCTTCCTCCCTCCCATTTAAAAATTACTCTCACCTTATTATATACATCCAACCTACATTACTCAGACATTTTAACCTGACTTGACTCAGTGAACCCTATGCAACATGGAACAGGTCAGAGGTCATGATCATTACAGCAGTGTCGGACCCTCGAGGCACAGAGCAACACTTGACCTTTATTAATTTGGAAGAGATAATGGGTGGGGGGGTTGGGGGGTGCCAGGTAAGGGGAGGTCATGCGAGGTGTTAGTGTGATTACGTGTGATTAGTCTCTCTCTCTCTCTCTCTCTCTCTCTCTCTCTCTCTCTCTCCAATTTTCTTTTATACTGTGAAGTTAAAATTTATAAGATGAATAATATTTCTGTACTTGTCTGAATACATCCCGGCTGATAAGGGGGAAACAAGAAAGGAAAAGGAAGAGGGAAGAGAATTGTGTAAAGGGGAGAATAAGATGATTGAAAGGAGGAATAGGAAAAGGTTGGATAAGAGAGGGAGAGAGAAAATGAGGTGAAAGAATGGGAAATACAAGAATGATGATGGAGATGGGAGAAGAGATGGAGTTTTGGAGGAAGTGAAGAAAATTAAGAAACTGGAGGAAGGAAAAATCGAAGATTGAGAAAAGAAAAGAGGTACTGGGAGGTAATTTAATAAGAGTATGGAAGGAGGGGATAATAAATTGTAAAAGCAGAGGGACAAAATGAAGGATGAGAAAAAGGTTGAGTCTCTCTCTCTCTCCCCCCCCAAGGCTATCATTCTCTCCCCTAGGCTTCCACTCTCTTTCCTTAGCTCTCACTCTATCCCCCTAGGCTCTCACTTTCTTTCTATAGGCTCTCACTCTCTCTCCTAGGCTGGCACGTCTTCATTGTTCACACACACACAGAGAGAGAGAGAGAGAGAGAGAGAGAGAGAGAGAGAGAATGGGTTACAAACATTTATACGACATTCCTTCATCATTAGTAAACGCCCACCTGTTAGCGGCAGGTATGTTGTGTGATATAAAGAACCTTTTAGTTGTGTTTACCAATACTTGGTGTGTCAGGAGCGGGTGTTTACGGCGTCAGGAGTGAGTTTACTGCGAGCGTCAGGAGAGAGTTTACAGCGTCAGAAGAATGTACAGTGTCAGGAGAGTGTACAGTGTCAATAGAGAGTTTACACACTCTGGAGAGAGTTTATAGTGTCAGGATTGAGTTTACAGCGTCAATAGAGTTTACAGCGTCAGGAGAGAATTTACAAAGCGAGGAGAAAGTTTACATCGTCAGAAGAAAGTTTACAGCACCAGGAGTGAGTTTACAACGTCAGTAAGGAGCTTACAGCGTCAGAAGATATATCAACGGTGTCAGGCGATATATCAGTGGTGTAAGGGGAGGCGACGAGCAAAACTTGATAATGTCAGCTTATTTTTAGGTCGTGTTAGTGCAAAATTAATGTTAAGCGGTGTTTAAAAAGTCACAAGACATTTTCGGGAGTCAATCGGCATTAAAAATTTTTGAACACCATTTTGAGATGTCAGCATGTATATTTCAGTGTCAGGAGATAGTTTACAATGTCAGGAGATAGTTTACAATGTCAATTGATAGTTTACAATGTCAGGAGATAGTTTACAATATTAGGAAATAGTTTACAATGTCAGGAGATAGTTTACAATATTAGGAAATAGTTTATAATGTCAAGTGATAGTTTTCAGTGCCAGGAGATAGTTTATAATGCCAGAAGATAATTTACAATGTCAGGAGGTAGTTAACAGTGCCAGGAGATAGTTTACACTGTCAGGATGTAGTTTACAGTGCCAGGAGATAGTTTACAATATCAGGAAATAGTTTACAATATCAGATGATAGTTTACAATGTCAGGGAATAGTTTACAATGTCAAGCGATAGTTTACAATGTCAGGAGATAGTTTACAATGCCAGAAGGTAGTTTACACTGTCAGGATGTAGTTTGCAGTGCCAGGAGATAGTTTACAATGTCAGGGAATAGTTTACAATGTTAAGCGATAGTTTACCATGTCAGGGGATAATTTACAATGCCAGGTAATAGTTTACAAGGTCAGGTGATAATTTACAACGTCAGGAGATAATTTACAATGTCAGGAGATAGTTTACAATATTAGGCAACATTTTGAGTATTTTGGGGATAATCTGAAGCGTCAATGAATATTTTGCGACGTGAGGCGACATTTACCAGCGAAGGTTTAAAGTATCAGGAGGTGTATGACGCCGACCACAGCGTCAGGAGGTGACATCCTAGAGAGTCGTGATCGTGTGTCAATTTTAATCACGTCGGCAAATGTTTACTGTCAACTGTAGCGATTGTGATGTAAATTGAAGTCCTTGACGCGCGGATGGCTGTTGAAGGGGAAAAATATAGGATTTTTTCACACGAAGACAAAAAAAATTTAATAAAAATAAACGTAGGGGACAATTGTATATATACAGTATATATATGTATTTACTGTATACATGGATATATATATTTGTATATATAGTTTTACACGTATTTCGTTTAGTACTACCATTAATATACTGATATATTTATAGATTAGGCTTATATATTAATTAACAACATAACATATGAATAATTTAGAAAATAACGCAGGTGAAAAACAGACGAACACACACACACACACACACACACACACACACACACACACACACACACACACACACACCTGCGTATAAAGAAAACGTTTCCATCTTAGGGAGGAGCACCGTTTAACACCTGTCCTCCTGGGGCGCTGTCTGGCCTGCCACCACCAAACCTGGCCTCTCCTCCACCACTGTCGCTCCCATACCATTTCAGTCTTCAGCCTCCCACCATCGCCGCCACCACGGCCGCTATCTCCGCCTTCGCCTGTCTGACACCTCACCTGCCGTTTACACCGACACCACCAGAAGGCACCATCACTACCACCATAGTACCCTGCTTTACCACACACCACCACTACTACCACACACCACCACCACCACCACCACCACCACTACTACCACCACCACACACCACCACCACTCCACAACCCCCCCTCCCTCCACCCCAACTCCGTCATTGAGGGGTTATTACTTATCCTTGTCTCGACACTAGAACATAAGGAAGTACCTCATAGGGTCTTGGCTGATGGTTATGAGGCACTATGGTCAGGACTGGGATCTTGGCCAGGACGTGTGGGACACTACCCGCCGCCGCCGCCCAGATATACTGTATGCTTAAACCTCGACAGTTCCATCCCCACGACTAAATGATGTCACTTAATCTCCTGGAGGTTGGACTTCATACTGATGTCGTTTATAAATTAATATCTTGAGGATGATATTTTAGTTTTTTTTCATATCAGACGTATATACATTATTCCTCCGTGGTTGTTGATTTATAACGTAATAAACTCCTGAAGGCTCTGAGTATTTCCAGCATGGTCATAACATATTGTTTAGTGTTACAACTTAATTGGTTAGCACGTACATTATGACCACAGGTGTTTGTAGTGTAATTATTCACTTCTGGAGCATATTGAGCATTTGTAATAACGGTATTCATATAACACTACCACCTATTATGTTTGTTTACTTCTATTAGTTACTTGATGGTGAGATAATTTAACCTTTCGTATAATAATTCTGCAAGATATTAAATAACATTGTTTCATCGTGCAATATGGACCAGGATAAAAGGGTGACATTTCTGTTACAGTTTTGTATAATTTTTAATATATTATGTATTTAGCACACACACACACACACACACACGCACACGCACACACGCACACGCACACACACACGCACACAAAGCATAATAGTCCACACCAGCAGTACACTTCAGGCTGGTCCAACGGTTGACCTGCAGTCTAGCCATAACATCAGGACGCCTCCTTACTCACGATAGGGCCACTTATGGTATGGCTGTGTACCTATAAACATGTCTGTCTGTTTATCTGCCCGTCGTTTACGTTCATCCGTTTCTTTGATGAAACTGAGTAACTCTTTCTCTCTCTCTCTCTCTCTCTCTCTCTCTCTCTCTCTCTCTCTCTCTCTCTCTCTCTCTCTCTCAGCAGCGACATAAATTAAAATATTCTATCTTCTTTCCACAGGTTCGAGGAACATCACAGCAGACACGGAAAAAGGTAAGGCGGTGTGAAATACGTAAACAGGAATGAAGGACCTTGGGGATAATAAAGGGAATGAAGGATAGAATGAGAGGGACGTCAGAACTTGATGATGAGGGAGCTGGCAGAACCGGTGATTGATAAATGTAGATTGTGTGTTTGGGAAGAGAGAGAGAGAGAGAGAGATGGAAAGTGAAAATGAAGCGAGTATCGTAAAAAAAAGAAAAGTGGGGAAAAGAGAAAATGAGAGATGGGAGGGCAATAAGAGAAGGAGGAAGGCAAAGGGAAAAAAAAGAAGTCAAACAAGGAAGTCAACACACCTGGTACAAGCTCAAACCCCCTTTGTATACCAAGACTCCCTTACTCCTGCCAGTCTTAGTTAATTAACACCAGGTAAACAAGACTGCTGCTGTTTTAAGGTGTACGCAGGAACTATTTAATACTGCTAGTGTTTTAAGGTATCGGTCTTTTATGGTATTAGCAATAGATTTTAGGTTGCCAGTGTTTTGCTGCATATCAGCAAGAGATTTAAGGCTGTCAGTGTTTTTGGTTGCATCAGCAAGAGATTTTAAGGTTGCCAGTGTTTTTGGGTTGCAGTATGGGTAATAGATTTCAGGTTGCCAGTGTTTTATGGTATTAGCAATAGATTTTAGGTTGCCAGTGTCTTAAGATATGGCTAACAGATTTTAGGGTATCAATTTTTAAAGGTATCGACAATAGATTTAAGGTTGTCAGTGTTTTAAGGTATCAGCAAGAGATTTAAGGTTGCCAGTGTTTTAAGGTATCAGCAAGAGATTTAAGGTTGCCAGTGTTTTAAGGTATCGGCAAAGAGATTTAAGGTTGCCAGTGTTTTAAGGTATCAGCAAGAGATTTAAGGTTGTCAGTGTTTTAAGGTATCAGCAAGGGATTTAAGGTTGCCAGTGTTTTAAGGTATCAGCAAGAGATTTAAGGTTGCCAGTGTTTTAAGGTAATGGTAACAGATTTAAGGTTGGAATTGAATTAAATTGAAACAGTTTATATAGCCAGAAAGCACAGAAAAATACAGATACAGAGTGGATAATAATAACAATATTAACATGGCTGAGCCAGTTGAGAACCTGAGCTCTCTTTGAGGCACCTGATATATACTATATATTTATCTCAAGGAAGTATTATGTAACATTTAGTATCATCTGGAGTAGTACAATAGCATGGTGGTAATAAGTACATCTCATAGTGTTACCACGGTTATCACTTTAATATATATTTATTTTAATTATTTATTATGTGTTTTTAGTTTATTTGTATATATATATATATATATATATATATATATATATATATATATATATATATATATATATATATATATATATATATATATATATATATATATATATATATATATATATATATATATATAATACAGTGGAATTGAAAAACATAAGTATAGTGGAGGTGCAGTACAACCTTGGTTGTACAGTAATAAGGTTGAACAAGAGGACAGAGCTGTCAGGATTATGTCTAGTTAGCAATTATGTTTATTGCAATGGTAATTATTTATTTACAGGATAATTTCCGATAAAACGGTTTTGATGGTACAATAAAAGCAGGTACTGTAAATATAGTAAGTGTTACAAGAAATATTAATACTTCGACAATAGATATTTTTTAAGAGATGATTCAAAGGAAGGGAGCGTAGTCTTTGCTCGGATGTGTGGGGGTAAGTTGTTCCACACCTTCACACCGTGATATTTTATGGAGGTCTGGGACTGACAGGAGCGCATGGGGGTGGTCTTAGTCGCTCTGGGTGCCTTAAGTTGTATCTCTGATTATTCTGGGACTGGAAATAATTATTGTCAAGCAAGTGATTGATAGATTTGTAAACAAAGAGGGCGCAGCAGTAGGTGTTAATATCTTCGAATTTTAAAAATTTCAATATAGCAAATTTTCCGTTTGTGTGATCTGTTTTTTTTCAAGTAGGTCATCTCTCTTTTGTGCAGTAGCCAGAGATTTTGTTTTTGAAGAGCCAGAGTTCCCCCATAGTGTGTGACAGTGTATCAGGTGTTGGTAAACAAGATCATGATAGATTTCTTTCATTGCTGTGAGAGTGAGTGACTGTCGAGTGTGATACATGATACCGCACTGTTTATTGATTTTACTGTGAATGGCTTGGATGTGGTTTTTCCAGTTAAGTTTCTCATCAACAATAACTCCGAGGAATTTAGTATTTTGTTTGCGTTTGAGGACTATATTATAAAGGTACAGGGGGTCCAAGTCTGGGGGTAAGTTTTTCCTTCTGTGTAAGATCGTGTAGTGGGTTTTCTCAAGGTTTAAGGTCAGTCTATTACGTATTACCCAGGTCCCGACTTTAGTTAATTCAGTGTTCATAGTTCTCATCAAGGAATGGAGGTCTGAGTTGCTGGCATAGAGATTACTATCGTCTGCAAATAAGTTGTATTTTATGAGTGAGCTGGCGTGGACTATGTCGTTTATGTACAACAAAAAGGTTGTCAGTGTTTTAAGGTATCAGCAATAGATTTAAGGTTACCAGCGTTTTAAGAAACCAAGCACTAATTTCCCATAGCTAGCATATGAAGACACCGAGTATATAAATTCTATAATGGAAAATTCCCCGAAAATTGCCATGCAAGCTTTTTCAGGCGCCAGCAGTAATTTACTTATCATGCGGTATACGAGGCTCCCTGCGTTATAAATTATGAACCGCAATCTTTATATTAAATTAGAAACTGTCCTTCGTCAGGCGATATCCTCAAGGCTAAGAATAGAAGTCGTGACCCAGTTATGAGTAATTGGCAGAAATTCTCTTGTGGATTGTAAACTTGTTTTTAATTTTGGTTATTCTTCATCTTGATTGTATCTATTTTTGTTAAAAATATTTGTTGGTTCTCGAAATTATACGTTGAGAGTGGGGCTTTGATGGTGCTTGGTGGTGTTATGGTGTTAGTATGGTGTTAGTATGGTGTTGTTGTGGTGGTGTTGTGGTATTGGTGGGAGTGTTGTTGTTGTTGTTGTGTGGTGTTGTTGGTGGTCAGTTTGTGATGGTGTTGTGGTGGTTTTGAAGTTGGTGTGGCTATAGTAGTGGTGTGGTGGTGTGTTGATGATGGTGTTGTGTTGATGATGGTGTTGTGTGGTGTGGTTTGTTTGTACTGGTGGTGTGGTGGTGTTGAAGTTGGTGTGACTTTAGTGGTGGTGTGTTGATGGTGATGTGGTGTTGCTGGTGATGATTTGATGATGGTATAGGTCTTATTGTTGTCGTGGTGTTGTATGTATGAATAAGGTGTTGTTGTTTTTGTCATGTTGTTAATGTTAGTACGGTGTTGGTGCAAATGTGGTGTTTTTTGTTATTGTGGTGTCATTGGTGTGGTGTTATTGATGTTGATATAGTGTTATATATTGTTTTGGCGTGGTGGTGTTGTTGGTGTACAGTTGTTATGGTTTGTCTTGATGGTGTTGATATGGGTTTTATGGTTGTTGGTGTATTGGTGTTGTTGGTGTAGCTATTGGTGTTGTTGGTGTTAATGTGATATTCTTGGTATTATCGTCAGTAACTGTATTCAAACTCTCTTCCTCTGTAAGGTAAACAAACTCAACACATTCTCAATCTTACGGTAAAGCGAATAAAAAAAAAATGGTCGGGTCTGCTGTAGAAGGGTTGATATCTAATAAATGCTGAGTCATTTTTGTTGACATTCGAGAAGTTCTTGACCTGCCTTACACGTTTCCCCGTGATGCTCCTCCTGCTCTCGCACTACCTTACACGTTACATTTGTCCACAGGTACACGTGCACCCGGAAGTACTCTGGTACACGTGCACCTGGGCGTCCACCGGCACATCTGTCATATGCCTTCTTTGTTAACATTTGTGAAAACGCCGAGTCATCTTTGTTGACATTCGAGAAGACCTTGACCTACCTTACGTTTTTCTTTGTTAACATTTGTGAAAACGCCGAGTCATCTTTGTTGACATTCGAGAAGACCTTGACCTACCTCATACGCTTTCTTTGTTTACATCTGAGAAAACGCTGTGTCATCTTTGTTGATATTCTAGTATACCTTGACCCACCTCGCACATCTCCCCGTGAGGGTCTCTTGTTCCCGTCAGTCCCTCACATGTCATATTTGTCCACGGGTACACGTGCATCGGAGAGCCCACTGGTACAGTTTGAGACATTACCGACTGGTATACTCAGCGTTGTCAATCCACCCTCTCAGTGAGGTGTGAACCCGGGAGTATCGACTCGTGAATTCAAAGAGTGAGGGTGGGGGTGATGGAGGCCGGTTTTAGGGGGTGGTGGGTTATGGGAGGTGAGGAGGGTGTTCGGCGGCTAAAGGGATGAGAAAAGTTTAAGGAGTTACTTGTGTAGTTATAACGCAGTATGTGTTAAACAAGGATATAATAAATACGGAGAGCAAAACACAAATTATACTTAGAATGTGTTACTGCACATTAGGGTGGTATTCCCAGCTAGTGCCACAGGTCCCAGCAACATATGCATATTTATGCAACTCAGGACTTTCATGACCCAATAAATAACTGGTGTATTTGATTTTATTTGCATAAGCATTTCGTGTTTGCTTATAGTTCTTATACAGTAACTGATGTATTGTGGTTTTTATATAATGTTTTTGTCAATTTACGCATCACTTACAAAAAATACAGTCCAGGTAACGAGACTCTGGATATTAAATTGTTTTTCATTGTTGAGCCATTCAGGTGGAAGCCAGACTGTAGTGAGATATGTAGGACTCGGTGTGAGGACTTAAATAACGTAGGATTTTGTGGAGGCCAATAAATAATGCCACCATCGATCCAGGGGTGATTGGGTACCTGGCGAGAGGGGGTGAGAAAGGTGATTATCTTCCCAGTTATAAATTTTGTCTCGCCAAGCATCACCTCACCTGACCGTCTTGAGCGATGAGGTGTGTGGAAGGTGGAGAAGTTGGCGGTAATCTCCCCACGTACAGTTTCAGTCACACGCTGTTAATCACCCCCACCCAGCTGTCCGTCAGGTGTGTTGG